AAGAAAGGCTTTAAAAACTGAGAAAGTAAAATCAAAGAAAACAAGAACGAAACTTCCAGTTTGCAGTTTAATTATGGGATCGTATCGGAAATCGATCATAACACTGCACTATTTTCATTTTTTGAATCGAGATTTTTATAGTAAATTTTTTTACAAATCAAAATTTAAAAATCTCATAACTAGGCCAAAAAAGCACTAATTTTAATTTGGAAAGCTTTCCTATGTTAGTTTTTACAAGGTTAATAAATCTGCATACTCAATTTCATATTTTTTCAAATTTAAAGTTTTATTAATTTTTCAAATTTTTAAATAATACATTTAAGTGATAAAAAATGTTGAAAAAATTAAAAAATTTAGATTGGTGCCTAAGATGTCTAGATCGATTCGGCTTTTAATGCTGATCAAGAATATATATGATTTATAGGGTCGAAAAAGACTCCTTCACTGCTTTTGAAGCTTCTGACTAAAATTATAATACTCTTAAAAGGTATAAATATAATAAAAGTCTCTCATTAATCACAGAAAGAACCCCCTAATATTCTTATGCTGTTAACCCCTTCAAACAATATAACCATATCAGCATAACAAATTCTCACTCATTTTTTCGGCTTACATAAAAAATTACCAAAAAACTTATGCATAATTATAAATGCCAAAGAAAAGCGTTGTTAGCTAAGCGTACTTCCTGGTTCAATATGTAAAACGATGATACTCCTTTCCTAACCTCCTCACCCCTCTCCTGGGATTCACTCACGCAAGACATAATCAACAATGGGAATATGGCAACACATTCAACATTCAACATTCAACATCAACAATATCACGCACTAGTCATTAGCTTTGTCTGAATAAACAAACAAACACACACACACACTCGGTTGCAAGTTGCAAGTTGCAAGGCAGGCAGATGAAATGCAACACGTGCTGTGCATAAATAATAATAATAAAACCGGGGGCGAGTTTTTCACCAGAAGTATTTTCCCTGAAGTATTTTTCATTTTTCCAGCTGACCAACTCCATGGTACGTTCTTGTGTTGTGTTATTGACCCCTCGTTCTTAAGGCGAGAAAATAATATACATTGAGAGAAATAACAAGGGTTATGAGTTTGTTATTTATTTATAAAAAATCTGAGCAGGTTATTGAGATAATAGATATTTATATTGCAATAAAATTTTAAACAAATCTGGTGTCGAATGAGTTTTGAATGAATTCAAAATCATTTTAACCTGAGAACATATTATTTACATTTTATTCTAAGCTAAACTCTTTGAGTAACAATTATAGAAATGTTAAAACATTCTTGTTTCCTAATAATTTGAACCTAATTTAATCATTATAATTTGTTTTTGTACCGTAGATACTACATTCTTAGTTCCAAAATGATAGTATCTTCTGTGTTATTTCTCCCTCTGCATATAGATTATGCATGCTAAAAGAGCCGGCACAAGCAACAGAGACATTCGTTTGTTTGGTTCCATCCCGAATGAATTAGAAGTGAAGCCAGAAAACCCAACCACTTGTTTCTGTCCAAAAACCGACATGGCTTCAGCCTCAAAACTTCAGTTTCAAACAGAAATTTCTTAATTCTTCGCAGCCTCGTCTCGACTCGAGTCTTTTGCATAATGTGTGTGATAAGCTTGGGGGATTTTCTGCTCTGACACAGATATTTATTTCGCCGGTATTTCAACTTCTCTTCTCTTTTTATTATTTTTTTGTTAAGATACTTTCGCAAGCGGATGTGGCAGATACTTAAAACGGCATTCAAACTTTGCCACTCCACCACTGTCACTGGCAGATCCCTCCCCGGTATATTATCTACACTAAATAAATCTCTTTGAAGTCCAATATTAAATTGAAGTCATTAAATTTGCAATTAAATTTGTTGCTTTATATACATATGTTATGAGTATTTTTATATTTGTTTGCCTGCCGGTTTCAGTTCATTAACTTTTACACACAGCTGCCAAAATGTGAATTAGCGAAACCAATTGAAATAAATTTGTATTAAAGCTTTTAGATGGAGTGGAGCGTAGCCAAGGTTAGTCGGGGGATTTCTCAGGTAATTCCTCTTGCTTTAGAGATATGTGTGACCCATATCTATCCGATGTGTTTATATATATAGCAAATGCCGGTTTATAATTAGATGGAACTCACTTCACCCACTTTTGAGTGCACTTTAGTTCTGCCGCCGCTGTTCCTCTATAGATCTTCCGCATACTTTGTGGGCTGTCTAAACATTTTCCCTACCTTTTCAGTGAGATAATTGTGAATCATTTGGACATATTTATTTGACACAAGTGGAGCATCTTCGATCAGCATTATAGAAGAGCTATTTTTGTTAGGGACATTCATAACCAAAATAGTTTGGTTTCATATACGAATTTTTATTCCTGACATTAATGAGCGTGTTAATCGGCCCAGAAAAGGTGACTTATACATATACTCGATATATATATTTTTGGACTGACTGAATGAACTGCCTTCACCCAAAATTTTACCCCCTTCTTGCTCTGAATTGAATTGTCTGTATTTTCGACCTTAATTAAAAGCCCCTGCGGGGCAGGAATAAAAGTTCAATGACTTTGTAATACACTTTTAATGATCGTGATTTAAAAAGGGCGTTGTAGAAATCAATTTTAGTTTTAGATTCTCTGTTTACTTAATTGAAAACTATGCCTCGGGGACCTAGTATAATACCTTTTAAAGAGTTCTCTGGGGAATCATTCTCCATCCCTTTTAAGGCGGCACAGTTTCTCTTAAGTTTTCGGGGTGGGAAGGTTGTGAGCTTCTTGGAGCTTTTACGAATCGATCTTCTCGGAAAAGTTTTTCCTTAGCCATTATAATCAGTCTAGCAAGCGCGCGTGTTCGTGGCGGATCGGGATCGCATCGGATCGGAACTTATAGTACTAGAAGTACACCTCTATATATCGCGCGAAATTGTACTTTTTGATGTCTGGTTTTATTTATAAGTTTTTTTTTCCCCAAATATTTCTCATTTTGCGCGTAGTATTTCGGGGATTTGCCATTTGAGTTTTGGGGGAATCTTATTTCGGTTTTTGCAGCTGGAGTTGTCTGTGTTATTTATAGTTTTTTTTTTCCCCCAAAAACGAGATATGTTTGATATGTGTGTGTTTTGGTTCCTATTGTTGTTTGTACGGCATTGCGTATGAGTGATTTGTGCTGGCCATCTCTTAGTCAGACTGAAATTTTTACTGGCACATTGCCCGACATTACGCAGCTGTTTAGAACACCATAAATTTTCCTCATCTTTATAGTAGACATTTTCTATGTAACTTACAAAAATATTGTTTATATAAAAGATATTATGATGATTATATTTCTGGACAAATGAAACCAAAACTAGCAGGGAAACATTATGGTTCCAGCAAGTCTTGGCCAATCTCTTTCCCTAAAGCGAGTCTCTAAAAGTCTTAGATTGGATAGAGCATAAAATTCTTAATACATTTCCAAGAGATTTTTTTTTTTAATACAAAATTCTAGATGTGATTCAGTTGACAAACAAAAACGACCTCACAATTTTATTGGGAAAGTCTTACACAAAAATCTTCCACAACGTAAATCAAAGTTGACAAGTGATTCACGGAATGTGTGATGACTGCAAGACGACATGTGTCTTAGGAACTTGTTGAAATACGTTTCAAAAAGTTCTGCCACATATTTTTTACGAGACTTTAAATGCATCTGGAACATAGATATAGATCAGCTATGGAAATTTTTTAAAAAGGTCTTTTATGATTTGGAAAAGCGTTTCCAGATGGAATAATTAAGCTTTATAGCAAATATTTTCACTGACAATCTCAAGTGAACCGTGATACCAGATGCCAACCATATATACATATCGAATGTCATTCGACACGAGCATAATCCTAAGGCCTATGCTTCCAATCATTATTTGTTTACAAACTCGAACAGCAAGTGTAACCCTTTTGGGATCGACACGATCTTCTTCATCTCCAAAGAGATCAAGAGATCTCCTCCTCTGCCATTTGGAAATGGCGTCAGCCGGCGGAAATGATGCCTCCAGATACCAAAATTAACCCAATTTGTTCCAAGCTTTTTGGTATAAACAAATATTCTATATATATGTTGAATTTCACACGCAATTTGGTTTATTTTCGTTTAATATCCGCGCAACGAAAAGAAAACAAATTGGTCTGAACTGAATTGAAAATTGAATTCGAAATGCCGGCTGTAAAATTTAATTAATTTAATTAGTTTTCTGCGTTTGTTTGCCAGGCTTTTCAATTGGCAAATGAGGTAACTTCAGATAAGATTATATAGTTTCAAAGAAAAACTGGTTCTGATGGATCATGAGTAAATTTGTTCAATTGGTTCCAAGAAACACAGTGCAATACATCATGTTTTATTTATAAGACTGATAAGAGCTTATATCTAGTGCAATCTTTCTCCAAGTACAACGCTAAGTATCCAAATTGTAAAGAAAATGAGCTGTTTCCGCTCTCGAAATTCACGTGGGAGCTATATGCAAATTCTCTTTGCAAAAAGAGAGAAGAGAAACTTTAACCTGACAGGTTGACAGACAGAGAGATCACAAAGTTAGATGACTTTTAGAGAACAACGACCCTCGATATATCAGATGGCTTTATAATATATTTCTGGTTGTCATGTAAATATGTGAGCGACGTGAGGTCGTAAAACACTAAGACCTCGGGGAACGTTAAAGGCCGACTGAGTTGTGCTTATCTGGTTGCCTTTGGGACAAGTTAACGCTGAATCTTATCAGGAGAGCAAATAAAACAAACATTTATCTCTGTACAGTGGTAGGAAAAAACTAAGAAAAGTATTTATACATACAGACAACTTAAGTTATAGTTAGGTTTAGTAAGGAAAATAAATCTAACAACTCAAATTTAAATACAAAAGGCAGAAATTCCTCATGAGAACTATGTATATTCTTTACTTAATTATTAAAATAAACTATAAATAATAAAACTAATTCCCTGATTATTTATTACAGACTGTCCAGACAACGTGGCGGCCACAACTGCCTTTGCCCCGAGAGCTTCAACTGACCGATGACCGGAATAACAGCACCGACGATCACGATTCGAAGGTGATCACCACCACAACCACAGCGGATATACACAACCATAACCATCATCATCAGCATCATATCCACAACCCAGAGGAGCAGGAGCAGGATCAAGATCAGGAAGAGGACATGGATCGACTGCGGGGCAATCACAGCATTGGTGGATCATCACAACAGCTTTCTGGCAAACAGAAATGGTCCTTTGGCCGACTATTTCGCAAAAAGAAGGAGGCAGAAAGTGCCTCCTCAAGCGAAGAGGATCGCAAGGCCGGATTTGTGCCCGCCCAACGTCAGTCAGCCAGCAAACCGAAATCAAAGCACGGAAATAAAGGATCTTCCCGTAGTAGCAGCAGCAGATTCGATCACATTGTGGTGAATCCACAGCAGCAGCAGCAGGCGCCACCACATCCGCCTCAACCCATCGATAACGAGTTCTTTCTGCCCGTGGAAACCATACAGCCGGAACCGTACTACCAAAATCAGCCTGGGTATTACCAGCGCTCTAGCAACTCCCTGGACAGAAGACTACTCCTGCAACAGCCACAGGGAAATGGCTATCATCATCATAAATCCCGCTCGGCGCAGAGAGGAGGTGCTACCAAGCCACCTGGAGTGGCCAACTCTAGTGGAGCAGAGGAGGAGCTGATATCGTTGAATTCTTCCACCTTCTCCAAGTATCGCAGCGATGAGAGCATCCATTTGGGTTCCATGGCTCCAGGACAAAGTCGACGTAGTCGAGCAGCTCGCAATGAGCGTTACTACAAGAGACTCTCCCGCGATGGGGAGCAGAGTCATGGAGGAGCACCAAATATTCTACCACAACAGCATCATCACCATCAGCAGCAGCGGTACAAGACACAGCCCTTGCCCTTGTCCATTTACCAGCCGACGACAAATGCTCCAACCAGTGGCTATGTCCAATGGCAACCGCAGCCGCAGAAGAACCTGCAGAACTCAATGCAGAACGATGGAAAGCGAAGCATCAGCTACGATAGTCACATACATTTGCAGAATTTGAGTGGCAGGATGCAGAGTAAACCTTTGCCGCCACCACCACCGCCCAGAGATCCACTGAGGCGAGTGCATGTTAGTGGTTCCGGATCGGGTCTTCAGATCGGATCCAGTTCTGGGGATTTGCGACCCGTTTCATACGCCTTTGATCAAAGCGGTCGCTGTGTGTCCGATGATCGAATTTGGCAGCCGCCACACTATCAGTCGGTGCATTCGCTCAACTCTCAGCCAAGTTCTTCGATAGCCAGTGCTCCTGTCCAGCAGCCACACCATCGGCGCTTTATCACACGTTCCGAGCGGAATGCACATCCTGGAAAGCAATCTCTGCCAAATGGCATTGATTTCCATTATGTGGCAGATGCAACGCCTCGGTCGAGGAAGCCCATACACATGATGGATACGGGGAGATTGGATAACGAAAGAAGCGGAGGAGGAGGAGGAGTACCAGCTTCCAGTGGCATACTGAGAACCTCCAAGAGTGGCCTGGCCACATCAAGTCCCGCTCCTCAGCAGCAACAGCAACAGCAGCCGCTTCTGACCAAACCCCGTTCATTTTCCAGCTCGCGTTTGAGCGAACTGAGGAGCTATCCCATGCCCATGTACTCCGAGGTGCAAAAGCCCAAGAGGAGTGCTCCTCCGCCTGTAAATACTTCACCCAGCGATCAGGATAACAACATCATTTGCGGTAGTCTGCACATCAAACCCAGTCTGGAGTCTGGTCAGAACCAAAACTATGTGGAGATACGTCATCACGATGTCCACAAGACCAACTCGATGCCACATCATTATCAAAACCGTAGATCTGGCGAGGATTTGCCCAACAAATACGAAGAATATGTGGCCGAGAAGCGTGAGCAGCATCAGCAGGCACCAGCTCCTGTCTATCCGGAACGGAAATTGAGCTGTACTCCTGCTTTGGCACCAGCTCCAGTACCAGTTTACTTCCCCCGGAAGAAGCCAGCCAATTTGGAGGAGGCCATCAACGAACTGGAGGCCATCTACAAATCATTGGGACTGACAGAACCAGCTGAACCCAAAGCAGAACCCAAGCTGGATATGATCTCGAAGATGAGAGTGCCGACACCCAGTGATTTTGAGAAGTTCGCTCTGGCGCATGCCGATGAGTACGAGGACGAGGATTCACCAACAGGTGAACCCGATCCCGTTAGGGACGATGTGGCGTATAGGAACCTGCAGCTGGCTAATCTTCAGCATCGATCATCAGAGAAACAGCCACCATTTGGCATACCGGTGGGTCCCATTGTGCCTGCTCCTCAATCCGACTATCTTCACGTGGAACCTGTGAGGGTCAAAAAGAAGACGAACTCTCCGGATATTGTAAAAGATGATTTGGCTGTGCGTGCCCTGCGTAAAGATCCGCCGGGACCCAAGTCCAGTTTTGTGTATCCCATGCAAAAGAAGCAGAGAGCTACAAGGACACAGTCGGCCAACATTTACAACCTGATTCAAAGGGATGCTGCGAAACCCTCAGGCGGAGATCTAAACAGTTACATGGAGCTCACACGCAACTTGGAGAGATCTGGAAGTATGTCCAATCTTCAGGGTGAAGCTGATGATGTGCCAGCCACATTGGATTTGCTGCGCAAGCTGAAAGCCCAAGATGAAGAGCTGGATATGGCCAGGAAACATCATCCCATACCCTTCCGGCATCCTAGCCAAGGTGGAGCTATTGCCCAGCTCCCAGAGCGACTCCTGACCAAAGAAGATCATCAGTCACCGCGTGCGGCACCTGTGCCAGCTCCCCGGAAGAGTCTCTCACCGGAACCCACAATGATGGATGATGCTCTCAACAAGATTGCCCAGGATGCACAGGCCAGCAGCATTAAGTTGAGTCACGAACTCAACGAACTCCGCAAGGAGGCTTTGATTACAGCTGCAAGACCCAAATTAAATGCAGAACAACAAAGATTGGAGGAGGAACTGCAGCAGATCGAGGCTGTTTCCGAGGCAGCCAAGCGCTGTGGTCAGATGCTACTGGATACACTGCCCGATGCGGGTCAGGAGGAGGATCAGGAGCCCCAAGAGAAGCCACCAAGGAAGCTGCATAAGGAGGGCAAACTCATTCGAGCCATTGACGAAGTCTCCGAGGCGGCCAATGCTGTTTGCGAGAAGATCCTCAAGGATATTGTGACCACTGAGCCACCGGTGATTGTCCATGAGGCTCTTCAGGTGAAGCAGACCACCAAAACTTTGCCCAGCGGAGAGCAGCTGGTGATGCCGCATCTCATCAAGAAACTGGATCCCATACAATCGGACAAGATCGAGCATATAGCCAGGCGATGCATGCGCCAGTTGAGCGAATTGGCCAATCCGGATTACGACAACCTGGTGGACACCTGTAATATGACCAACAGCAACATCACCAATGCGCCGGGTGATGCCACTCTCGTTTGTCCCGTTCCAGAGAATCGTGCCGGCGGCAAGAGTCAGACGCTCGAGGAGATTGATAAGATCATGCAGGAGTGTGAGCGTCAGGCCAAGGGCAGCAGCTCGACAGGATCAGGATCGATTTCGACCCCCAATACCAACACAACCACCGATGATCAGCGCACCACTGCTCCCAGTTTGACCAGCGGAAGTGGAAGCGGCAGCGGTTGCGGAAGCTTCCCACCAAATGTGAGCACCACCGCCAGCTCGTTCAGTTCGAGCAGCGATTGTTTGGCCAAGTCGTCGAGTCCATCGCGAGCCAGTCGACCGCTCTCCTCGAGCATCACCTCCTTCAATCCGTACTCCTCCAGCGACTATATCAAGTCGCAGAGCAGCGATTGCCATGCACCCAGCACCGATCCGATCAAGACCTTCAGCACCACCTCGTATGAGGGTCAGTCCACACCGCAGAGCACCACCATCAGCACGAACACGATGAGCACGACGATCAGTAGTAACACAACTAATAATCCCAGCAGTGTGCAGGAGTCCTCGTCGCATCCAACCGCCTCGCCGCCGCCTCTACAGTTGACACCGGTGGGTGAGCGTAGGAAGCGTGGAGCATCATGCTCCTCCGCAACCTCATCGCCATCACAGTACAACTCCAGTGAGGAGCTGGCCGCCATATTTGGCATTGAGGAGCATCCAAAGCATCGCAGCAGCAACCGGCTGACGACAAATGCCACAGGTAACGGAGATGAACCCAACGCCAATGTGGTCCCGAATCCGAGTTCGCCTGAATCCGATACTGCTGCCACTGCCAATGCCACTGATATTGCTACTAATCCCGCCCAGCTCGAACCAGCTAATAGCGCTACTAATCCCGTTTTGAATGTTCAACTTGATGTTACTGTTACTAGCATCTCCAACTCCAACACCAACACCCATACCCATCCAACCTCTAACGATAGTGCTAGCTCCTGTAGTAGCCATAGTTATAAGCTAGAAACGATCCCAGAACAGGATCACGACGAGGAGTCCAGCTCACTTAAGTTGTCACCGAACTTTAATCGGATTTATGCCAGCAAAATACGCATTGTTATGGATCGTGATAATGATGATGCAGAGGGAGAGGTAGATACTTGTCTCCTGCCTGAAGGTGGTTCTGATGCCGCTCTAACCCAGTTCGATTCATTGAGTTCGCTGGAGGAGACCTCTTCCAATCCGGACTCTGGGAATGTCAGCCTCACAGATTATCCTTTGGTGCCCAGTCATGCAAATGCTTCGTTGGAATTGCAAACCACCTATAATAGTCGCTTTGAGGTCAAGGAGCATTATGTTTCTGAGGTTTCGATAAGTGCCTCAGAGTCCACGGATGATGAGCAAACCGATACCGAATGTGTAGAGATTCCACTTTCTATTAGGGAAGATGATTTTCCTCCACTTCCCACCGAAGAGGAGTTGGAGGAGAGTCTTAGGGAAGAGCTAGAATTGAATGTGACTCTAGATAAAGATAGTTCTGAAATTGTTAGCCAGAGTAGTAAAGATACAGTTGAAGAAGCATCAAAACTTAAACTTGACGAAACAGTTAGTCTTAGCGAAGAGGTGTACAATCTAACCACAGAGTCCTTGTTACGACATACTTCCAGCGAAGTAACTGATACTAGTATTGCCACCATAGAAGTTAATGAAAGTCTACTTGATGTCTCCGAATTTGACGAAATAGATTTTGGACTAGACGAATCAGAATTAATTGGCAGAATGCTAGAGGCTTCATTCGATGAGCTAGATGAGTTGGACATTAGTGAAATTCCAAAGGAAGAAACTGAAACTGAACTTGACGAAACTTCATTGAATGGTTTGGAAAGCATAAATCTAGACGAAACAGAATTTGAGACAACAGAACTTGACGAAAGCCAACTTAACAAGAGTCCCCTTAACGAAACTTCTTTAAATGAGTTAGTCAGCTTAGTACTTGATGCATCCGAATTTAATGAAAGTAAACTTAACGAAACCTCATTCGATCAGTTGAATGAACTGGAATTGGACGAATGCGACTCGATTATGCCACTTACACGTCGCAAAAGCATCGTTTACGAGACCCCTGCCCTCAACCTGAGCATATCCGAGGTGAAATTGAATTACGAAACCCAAGGGGCCGAGGAGGAATTGAAACCAGAACGAAAACCAGAAGAAGCCGCCACCAAATCGAATGAGGAAGCGGATGATGATGATGATGAGGATACTTTAGCACGTAATGAGGCAAGGGAAGAAGGCAGTGGCAGTGGCAGTAGCAATGATGTAACTGAGACGCAAATACATTGTCGCAAAGGACTTCCGGCAAGGGAAGCTCCTCCACCGAATGATGATAATAACAATGCTCCTGTTGATAATGATGATGAACAGCCGACGACCAGCTCCAAGGCACTGTCCGCTTTTGGTGAGGTGCGAGAGGTGCAACGGCTTCAAGCACCTGTAGATGCAACGGCGGTGGCGGTTGGTGCAACCCGCGGCAGGTGGACCACTCTCGAGCACGTTTTTGTCGCCTGCACCGTGGGCCTGATTACGCCAAACGATTTGCTCACTTTGTGCCTGATCGTAATTGGTGTGATTATCATTATTGCAATTGCGCTCGCCTGAGAGTGTACTGTATGCTGCCTGTTATTGTTTGTAATTGTAATTATGAGGAGAAAACCGTGAAGCGGTGAAGAGAATTATTATGTATGATTTTCCTATAACATTTCTTCGACGATTTAGCAGCCACCAAGTGCACTTAAAAAGTTTCCATTTACAGTAATTAGTCATTAGGCAATGGAATATTATTGTATATGTATGTAAATTACAATTAATTTAGCTATTATTTCCACAAGAACCAAAAGTATTCTCAATTTCTATGTTATATTAAGTGCAATTATGTTACGAAACATTTGTTTAATATATATATATTTTTTTTAATTCCATTCATCTTACTCTCTCTAAAAAAAAACTGATTCTTTAACACAGTGTTCTCCTATTTAATTTCTTAATTAATTGTTAATTTGACTGCAACTTGTGCCAATGATTTTTATACGTTTACTTAATTAATCAATTTAATAATTTAACCACACTATGTACTATTCCCTTATAATGTTTAAGCACATCAAAAAATACGAGAACAATATTCGAAAATGATAAAGATATTTACATTTACAAATTACCGAAAATACTAATGATAAAATATATATTTTCTTAAAATCTCTTTGTATATTTTCAGCCCGAAATTTAATAGTTTAAGTTTGACAGCGAACTCAACTCGTTTATTACGTAGCATTCATTAATTATTTCGCATATATAATTTAAATGTTTATATAATTTACAACAGACAAATATGGATTAAATGCAGAAGCCATGAAGCGAATAAAGCGTATAATATTATTAATAAAAATGTTACTTCAAAAAACATATACGATTATTTCAACGTTTTTTCGTTTTCTTTTTCCTTCTCTGCGTTGTTGTTGTTGTTGCTTTTTGTGTGTGTTTTCTTTTGCTTAACAATTATATGTTTTTCCGTGTAGTTTAGTACTATTTTGACTAACCCTTTTCGAAATAAAAATATCAAAATTATTCCCCTAACGCCCAAAAAATTTATTTATTACATATATACCTGTTGTTATTGTTGCTAAAGTTGCCGCCGCCAAAATATGGAAAATTGCTAATATTTATTGGAATTTTATTTAAATATTTTCTGCTTTTACAGGTACTTTTAAACTAAAATTCATATATTATATAAAATAATTCATGATTATATTTTTTACAAAATATGTGGGTTGGTGTCTTGGCTGATGCTCTTGTTGTTGAAAGTGTTTAAAGCTTTTTCCCTGAGACAGGTGGCGCCAAAAGCTGTGGTGTAGCAATGGTGTAAAATCAATAAGCTATGTCTTTTTCTTCTTAAACATATTGGTTTAACATATAAAAAATCAGTAATATTTATATTTTTTTTATTTAAACCGAAAACCCGTATAAATTTACAAATATATAATACATTTTTTACCAAAAGATTTCGTTCAAAGAATAGGTAATTACATGTTTTAAAAAACCTTTTTTAAACGCAGCTAATTTTTTTATTTAAAGACCCTAAAAATTCCTTGCCTTAAAATTCCAATACTATGCAGAGAAACAGGAAAAACTTTTTAGTAAAGGGCACAAACCGTAAAAACTTGTTTAACTTAAAACTTAGTTGCCAAAGTGGCAAAACAAATAAAAAGGTTCAACAATTTTTTTGGGAGGCTCTATTTAGAGAAAAGAGAAAAAATCATGGATGTGTCTGATGTATTTACGTTGCTGGGATTCTGTTTACGATTTGTCTGCCTCGCCGGGTCACAGACTTGGGGTCCCTCAAAGGTATTTATTTATTTTTTTTTTCGAAATAGCTAAAGAAAAGAGCTTAAAGCTAAAAGTCGTCTTACGTTTGGCCAAAAAGGGGAAAAAAGGGAAAGTCGTGGCCTCATAATGGAACCAATTTGAAGGAGCTGCTGAAACTTTTCTTGTCGCTTTTTAGCCGTCGTCGTCGTCGAGTTCATGTTGTGGCATAAAAAGGACATTCAACTGCAGGTCGGTTGTCCTGGTTTTCTTATTGTTTTTTATCTCTGTCTCCTTACTTTTTTACCCATAATTATGTTTTGGCCTTTTTTTGCCTAATGAGGCGTACAATTTCCATGGAGGAGGTAATCTAAGCTAGGAACCCAGGGAATATTGATATATATACTCCCCTGAATCCTCTTTGCCTTCCCTTTAAAATCTCTGACTTTTATTTCCATCAGATTTTTATTCCTTGAAATCTTCGATTTGTCGCCAAGGGATTTTCCGGCAAGATTTATGTTCCGATAGCCTTGTTTGTAATTGAAAATTGGCTTAGTGTTTTGCTTTAAACTTTAAGCTAAGGAAATGTCTTTTTTTTTTCGTCACATAGAGTTCATTTACCTTGCCAGTCCGAGCATTGCTCTCGTTCACACACACAATGACCGGCACACCAGGCTAAATAGCAATAAAAATGTCACCCGGCTCTAATTTGTTTTTTGTCTACGCCGCCAGGACTTGGTTTGGCTTGGCTTCACGGCTTGCCTTGCCTTGCCTCGCTCCAAGGACCTCCTCCGTAGCTCCATAAATAAACCAAACAACCGCACCACAGCCAGTGTGTGTGTATGCTTGGTCCCAGAGTTCCTTTTCTGCATGTGTTCCTGGCCTCCTCCTGCTTCTTCTATCACTGAAATAATCATAACTCACTTAACCCCATTAAATTGCGCCTGGGAAGTTGTAGAGACGCAAGTAGGGGAAGCACCACAAAAGGCCTAGGGGGCGTATGAGCGATATTCACCAAAAGGGGTTGCAAAGAGAGGAAAAGCGGATGCGGGGCGTGTCCAAGTGGGTAACGCATCATTGACAACGACAAGAACCTTTTGTAGGAGCTCAGAAACACTGGCTGATAATTACAATCAGGGCAAGACAGCAGTCAGCCAACGCTCGGGTGTTCCCCTTTTTTTGGCATTACTCATACGCCTCATGGTACACCGCAAAATTCAATTGATGGGTGAGTGAGTGATAGGAAATATTTAATATTCGGTATATTTTAAGCGGAAATATAGAGAAATATAGAGAGGGTCTACTGAATTCTCTGCTTTGATAAGATTTTATCTCTTTAAATCAGACTTAAAAGTTTTGCCAAGTCTTTAGGCTTTATATTATCTTGCTTTTTTCTTTTATAAATAATTT